AAAGGAGTTGCTGCAGCTTTGAACCTCCAAGTGAGAAATGATGTCACACTTTAACTTTAACTTTGTGGTATAATTCCACAGAGATCCTCAGTGGATATTTAAACTATATATAAACTAAGTTCTGAACACAAGAATAACCAAAGAAACAACATGAATATGAATGAAAACAAAGAGGACTGTTCTTTTTTTCTTTTTTAAAATAAGATATGGTCTATTTTAGATAAAATGGGACTAAACCAGGACTATACAGAGAAACAAACTATAATTAAAACAGACTGGACTTGGTGGGATTAAACTGGGAGAAAACGTCACATGAACTTGGAGTCATAGACGTCGGAACTATTTTCTGAGAGGGGGGGCGGGTTTTTGTTGGGAGAGTCGAGGGAGAGACTCATACTTGGATTACACTGGATAAAAACATACCATCTTAATTGTTAAGAAAAACAAAATAAACAATATATATCAAGCAAGTCACTTATCAAACTGAACTTTTTTTTTTTCAATACGCATTCATGCGTCAGTCTCTCCGGTGGCTTCATTGTGTTGTGTAGCCCAGTGACGTGCGGTCAGATGAGGCAGGCAAGGCCCTCACCTAAGATCATAGAAAGAAAAGTAATAAAATGGATACAATAATGTTTGGTCACTTTATCAAGTGATTTGTGCTGTGCCTTATTTCATTTATTTATACCTTGAAATCGCAGATTTGACAAAGCGGTGCTGTGAGGCGAGCCTCTCTTGGGAGACGTAAAAAGCAACAGCTCACAGGGAGAGTCCTGTGAGGTGCTATCAAACTGTTTTCTCTGTTTATCACAGTTTAAAAAGTTCAAAAATATTTAATTTACAATCAACATGTTTACATTTAAGAGGATGGCTCATAAATTGTGTTTTTGAAGCAAATATGGGTCTTAATCGCGCTCAACCACAGCTTGTAAGTGAGGAAAGCCTCAAGGGGGCGCTTGTGAGCCCAAACTTTGGCTGCATCCAATTCCATCAGAAAGCTCCTTTCTTGTTCTTCTTCTGCTAAGGGCAGCTACAGGTTTGGCTAACATACCTATAATACATTTTAAGATAATTTAAAATGCACTTAGAGTAATGTTTTGCTTCCAATGATGATATGAATCATAAGAAAAGGAGGTGAAGGGTAAGGTTGAATTTAGAAATTGGATTTACCCGGGAGTCGGCTGCAGCAAAACTCGGAGTTTACGGAGGAGACACCCGTTTTTTTTACTTTTTAAAACTCATTGAACTTATTTCCAAATGGAGGATTACATGTCTGTGCTCAAACTATTATCTGGACTTAAACATGAAACTGGTCCTAACTGAAGTGGTCTGTGCTGTTCATTAATACCTAAGGTAAGGCCCATAACACACTTTGTACTTTTTACAAACGTTTGCATTTTGTATGAGAAAACAATGCAGACATTAAATCATATTCTGCTGTAGCCAAACAAATTGTGTATAAGCCGCTCCTGTTCCTGTAGGTCCTGTTGGTTTATATGATGTATAATCATATGAACACATGATTGATCCCCCACCGCACGTCACTGGTGTAGCCAGGTCTCTAATCTGCGCAAGGCTGAGAAAGAGCGCTCAGAGGCTGCGACAGATATTAGCCAGACAGAGCTTCATAAGCTTCTCCGACAGCATGGAGCGGGTTTTGGGCTGCAAGGAACGCAGGATAGTGATAACTTCTCGCTCCCGGCACACGCGGAGGGGGTGCGGCCGCACCCCCCGCACCCCTAGTTCCGACGTCTATGCTTGGAGTTGCTCTGGCTGCAGAGAAATGATCTACCGATGTGCAAATGGAACACGCAAATTAGTTTTATGATTGTGTGTGTGTGTGTGTGAGCTACCAATGTGTGTGTGTGTGTGTGTGTGTGTGAGAGCTACTGATGTGTGTGTGTGTGTGTGTGTGTGTGTGTGTGTGAGCTACTGATGATGTGTGTGTGTGTGTGTGTGTGTGTGTGTGTGTGTGTGTGTGTGAGAGCTACTGATGTGTGTGTGAGCTACTGATGTGTGTGTGTGTGTGTGTGTGTGTGTGTGTGTGTGAGCTACTGATGTGTGTGTGAGCTACTGATGTGTGTGTGTGTGTGTGTGTGTGTGTGAGCTACCAATGTGTGTGTGTGTGTGTGTGTGTGAGCTACTGATGTGTGTGTGTGTGTGTGTGTGTGTGTGTGAGAGCTACTGATGTGTGTGTGAGCTACTGATGTGTGTGTGTGTGTGTGTGTGTGTGTGTGTGTGTGTGTGAGCTACTGATGTGTGTGTGAGCTACTGATGTGTGTGTGTGTGTGTGTGTGTGTGTGTGAGCTACTGATGTGTGTGTGTGTGTGTGTGTGTGTGTGTGTGAGAGCTACTGATGTGTGTGTGAGCTACTGATGTGTGTGTGTGTGTGTGTGTGTGTGTGTGTGAGCTACTGATGTGTGTGTGTGTGTGTGTGTGAGAGCTACTGATGTGTGTGTGAGCTACTGATGTGTGTGTGTGTGTGAGCTACTGATGTGTGTGTGCTACTGATGTGTGTGTGTGTGTGTGTGTGTGTGTGTGAGCTACTGATGTGTGTGTGCTACTGATGTGTGTGTGTGTGTGTGTGAGCTACTGATGTGTGTGTGCTACTGATGTGTGTGTGTGTGTGTGTGTGTGTGTGAGCTACTGATGTGTGTGCTACTGATGTGTGTGTGTGTGTGTGAGCTACTGATGTGTGTGCTACTGATGTGTGTGTGTGTGTGTGAGCTACTGATGTGTGTGCTACTGATGTGTGTGTGTGTGTGTGTGTGTGAGCTACTGATGTGTGTGTGAGCTACCGATGTGCAAATGGAACACAGACCACAGCCTCAGGATATTTACATTTACTCTGTGTTTATTGCATTGTAGCCAAAGGTTTAGATTCTCTACGTTTAAAGATGCACAAAGATTTTCACTTTTGAAAATGTGCCAAAAAGTTGTGTTTCCGTGGCCACGACCTTCATGATTCGTTTAAGGCTCGACTTTAGAAAGAAACTGTTCAATAAACAATAAAACCTTCATCAGTGAAAGATACAGACTCTGATGTCAGACTGAAGTAACAGAACTTTCTCTCTCTCTCCTCATCTCTCCTCTCTCCTCATCTCTCTCTCCTCTCTCCTCCTCTCTCTCTCTCTCCTCATCTCTCTCTCCTCTCTCCTCTTCTCTCTCTCCTCTCTCCTCTCTCTCTCTCTCTCTCTCTCCTCTCTCTCTCTCTCTCTCTCTCTCCTCTCTCTCCTCTCTCCTCTCTCCTCTCTCTCCTCTTCTCTCTCTCCTCCTCTCATCTCTCTCTCCTCTCCTCATCTCTCTCTCCTCCTCTCTCTCTCCTCCTCATCTCTCTCTCTCCTCCTCTCTCCTCATCTCTCTCTCTCTCCTCCTCTCTTCTCTCTCATCTCTCTCTCCTCATCTCTTCTCTCTCCTCCTCTCTTCCCTCTCCTCATCTCTCTCTCCTCATCTCTTCTCTCTCCTCCTCTCTTCTCTCTCCTCATCTCTCTCTCCTCATCTCTTCTCTCTCCTCCTCTCTTCTCTCTCTCTCTCCTCTCTCTCCTCTCCTCTCTCTCCTCTTCTCTCTCTCTCTCCTCCTTTCTCCTCTCTCTCCTCCTCTCTCCTCTCTCTCCTCTCTCTCCTCTCCTCCTCTCTCCTCTCTCTCCTCCTCTCTCCTCTCTCTCCTCTCTCTCCTCTCCTCCTCTCTCCTCCTCTCTCCTCTCCTCCTCTCTCTCCTCCTCTCTCCTCTCCTCCTCTCTCTCCTCTCTCCTCTCCTCCTCTCTCTCCTCTCCTCTCTCTCCTCCTCTCTCTCCTCCTCTTCTCTCTCCTCCTCTCTCCTCTCCTCCTCTCCTCCTCTCTCCTCTCCTCCTCTCCTCCTCTCTTGTGTTTTCAGGATGGGTTGTTTCTGGACTGTAGCTTCGTTCCTCTGGACGTCCAGCTCGACAACTGGGACGAGATGCCTCCAGCGTTTAGCCTGCGCCGAGAAAACAGAACACAGGTGTGTGTGTGTGTGTGTCTCTGTGTGTCTCTGTGTGTCTCTGTGTGTGTGTGTCTCTGTGTGTGTGTGTGTGTGTGTGTGTGTGTGTGTCTCTGTGTGTCTCTGTGTGTCTCTGTGTGTGTGTGTCTCTGTGTGTCTCTGTGTGTGTGTGTCTCTGTGTGTGTGTGTGTGTGTGTGTGTGTCTGTGTCTGTGTCTGTGTGTGTGTGTGTGTCTGTGTCTGTGTGTCTGTGTGTCTGTGTCTGTGTGTGTGTGTGTGTCTGTGTGTCTGTGTCTGTGTGTGTGTGTGTGTGTGTCTGTGTCTGTGTCTGTGTCTGTGTGTGTCTGTGTCTGTGTCTGTGTCTGTGTCTGTGTGTCTGTGTCTGTGTCTGTGTCTGTGTGTCTGTGTGTCTGTGTCTGTCTCTGTGTGTGTCTCTCTCTCTCTGTGTGTGTGTGTGTCTCTCTGTCTCTGTGTGTGTCTCTCTGTCTCTGTGTGTGTCTCTCTCTCTCTGTGTGTGTGTGTCTCTCTCTCTCTGTGTGTGTGTGTGTCTCTGTGTGTGTGTCTCTCTCTGTGTGTGTGTGTCTCTCTCTCTCTGTGTGTGTGTGTCTCTCTCTGTGTGTGTGTGTCTCTCTCTGTCTCTGTGTGTGTGTCTCTCTCTCTCTCTGTGTGTGTGTGTCTGTGGGGACGTTGTGTAGGCGCCACAGTGCGGCTCCTACGGTGTCATTACCGAGAGAACACCTCAAAGCCAGAAGTTAATTTGATCCAAGAGACGTTTTTCAAAGTCGTTGCAGATTGATGAGATTAGAAAGTGCACGAAGGAGGAGCAGGAACATTCTCAAGAATTCCAACGGGTTTTCAACACGTTCCTCCCAAACCTGGAAACAGATTTGTGTCAAGGTCATTCAGGAAGAACAGGTTTTACTCTGAAGGTTCTTTCATCTGTGACTTTACTGCAGAGTCTGTGTTTGTCATGGTGCAGTAATGTAGGTCACACTGTGGCTGCTGTTTTGGCCCATTCCTCCTTGAGCTGTGATGTCCTGAGGATGTCCCTGTGCAACACACACTCAGTCCTGGAGACCGAGTCCTGGAGACCGAGTCCTGGAGGCCGAGTCCTGGAGACCGAGTCCTGGAGACCGAGTCCTGGAGACCGAGTCCTGGAGACCGAGTCCTGGAGACCGAGTCCTGGAGACCGAGTCCTGGAGACCGAGTCCTGGAGGCCGAGTCCTGGAGGCCGAGTCCTGGAGGCCGAGTCCTGGAGGCCGAGTCCTGGAGGCCGAGTCCTGGAGGCCGAGTCCTGGGGAGGCCGAGTCCTGGAGGCCGAGTCCTGGAGGCCGAGTCCTGGAGGCCGAGTCCTGGAGGCCGAGTCCTGGAGGCCGAGTCCTGGAGGCCGAGTCCTGGAGGCCGAGTCCTGGAGGCCGAGTCCTGGAGGCCGAGTCCTGGAGGCCGAGTCCTGGAGGCCGAGTCCTGGAGGCCGAGTCCTGGAGGCCGAGTCCTGGAGGCCGAGTCCTGGAGGCCGAGTCCTGGAGGCCGAGTCCTGGAGGCCGAGTCCTGGAGGCCGAGTCCTGGAGGCCGAGTCCTGGAGGCCGAGTCCTGGAGGCCGAGTCCTGGAGGCCGAGTCCTGGAGGCCGAGAGTCCTGGAGGCCGAGTCCTGGAGGCCGAGTCCTGGAGGCCGAGTCCTGGTGGCCGAGTCCTGGAGGCCGAGTCCTGGAGGCCGAGTCCTGGAGGCCGAGTCCTGGAGGCCGAGTCCTGGAGGCCGAGTCCTGGAGGCCGAGTCCTGGAGGCCGAGTCCTGGAGGCCGAGTCCTGGAGGCCGAGTCCTGGAGGCCGAGTCCTGGAGGCCGAGTCCTGGAGGCCGAGTCCTGGAGGCCGAGTCCTGGAGACCGAGTCCTGGAGACCGAGTCCTCGAGACCGAGTCCCTCCATACCCTATGCAGAAATATCGCCCCAAACCATAATGTTTCCACCCCCATGATTCAAAGCATTAAAAACTCTTAGCAATTCTTTATTTTGTTTTTGTTTTAAAAGTAACGGTCTTTTAAGGAGAAATATACAGGAAGATGTACTGTTTTCCTCCATATGCAACAAATGATAATAATAAAATAATAACAAAAGTCACGTCAAGTCCTGACCTTTGACCCCGACCTGCAGAGTGAATATAAAACAGCTTCTCGCTTCCTGCAGAGACAGATCTCTCCAAAGAGTGTGGTCTGTAGTTATAGATCACATTATACTTGACAAAATGGATTCTCTCTGAAAGTTGGGGACCTGAGCTTTAATTGAACGTGCCTCATTAGCGCGCCGCCGTTAGCTTCATGTTTTGCTGGTGTCAGGTCAGAGGGACATGATTCTTCAGAGACGTGTTAGCGAAGCAGCTCACGGAAAATGCCACTTTTTATTGACGTCGTTAAACCAGACGAATCACGGCCCCCACCCGTCAGGGCCCCCACCTGTCAGGGCCCCCACCTGTCAGGGCCCCCACAGCCCTGGTCCATCCTTCACGCCTCGCTAACTCGCTAACACCGCCATTGTCAGGATCGATAGAAGTCGTGGGTTTTCCGCCTCTGGAACAGCACAGTCTGACAGGTTTATGTCCCGGTGATAAACTCTGTGTTTGTCTGGAAGAATGCTGTTAGCTGGATGCTGTTAGCTGGATGCTGTTAGCTGGATGCTGTTAGCTGGATGCTGTTAGCTGGATGCTGTTAGCTGGATGCTGTTAGCTGGATGCTGTTAGCTGGATGCTGTTAGATGGATGCTGTTAGCTGTCAGTACATACTGACAGCTCATTGGCTGAGTCAGGTACATACTGACAGCTCATTGGCTGAGTCAGGTACATACTGACAGCTCATTGGCTGAGTCAGGTACATACTGACAGCTCATTGGCTGAGTCAGGTACATACTGACAGCTCATTGGCTGAGTCAGGTACATACTGACAGCTCATTGGCTGAGTCAGGTACATACTGACAGCTCATTGGCTGAGTCAGGTACATACTGACAGCTCATTGGCTGAGTCAGGTACATACTGACAGCTCATTGGCTGAGTCAGGTACATACTGACAGCTCATTGGCTGAGTCAGGTACATACTGACAGCTCATTGGCTGAGTCAGGGCTGGCGTCATTTTCAAAGTTAGGTATACGAGCTTTAACTTTTGTTCAAATGTTTTCTCAGTGACACTTTGGGACAAAATTAAGAAAAAAATAAACATAAACATGTATCTGTCACACTGTCCTTTCCCATGGTTTAAATACATAGATAATATATACCCTATATACATATATAACCCTATATATAATATATATAAATACAGCACTTTCTCTGTCTCTGTCTCAACATCTGAAAGTATGAAGTTAAGTTAAGTGTTTTTAGAAAGTGTTTTTCACGTTTAGTCTGAGTTCAGTTTTGGTCTCAGTGTTCTGGTCTCAGTGTTCTGGTCTCAGTCCTCTGGTCTCAGTGTTTTGGTCTCAGTCCTCTGGTCTCAGTCCTCTGGTCTCAGTGTTTTGGTCTCAGTGTTTTGGTCCCAGTGTTTTGGTCTCAGTCCTCTGGTCTCAGTGTTTTGGTCTCAGTGTTTTGGTCTCAGTGTTTTGGTCCCAGTGTTTTGGTCTCAGTCCTCTGGTCTCAGTCCTCTGGTCTCAGTGTTTTGGTCTCAGTGTTTTGGTCCCAGTGTTTTGGTCTCAGTGTTTTGGTCTCAGTGTTCTGGTCTCAGTGTTTTGGTCTCAGTGTTTTGGTCTCAGTGTTTTGGTCTCAGTGTTTTGGTCTCAGTGTTCTGGTCCCAGTGTTCTGGTCTCAGTGTTTTGGTCTCAGTGTTTTGGTCTCAGTGTTTTGGTCCCAGTGTTTTGGTCCCAGTGTTTTGGTCCCAGTCCTCTGGTCTCAGTGTTCTGGTCTCAGTCCTCTGGTCTCAGTGTTCTGGTCTCAGTGTTCTGGTCTCAGTGTTTTGGTCTCAGTGTTTTGGTCTCAGTGTTCTGGTCCCAGTGTTCTGGTCTCAGTGTTTTGGTCTCAGTGTTTTGGTCTCAGTGTTTTGGTCCCAGTGTTTTGGTCCCAGTGTTTTGGTCCCAGTCCTCTGGTCTCAGTGTTCTGGTCTCAGTCCTCTGGTCTCAGTGTTCTGGTCTCAGTGTTCTGGTCTCAGTGTTTTGGTCCCAGTGTTCTGGTCCCAGTGTTTTGGTCCCAGTGTTTTGGTCTCAGTGTTTTGGTCCCAGTCCTCTGGTCTCAGTGTTCTGGTCTCAGTGTTTTGGTCTCAGTGTTTTGGTCTCAGTGTTTTGGTCTCAGTGTTTTGGTCTCAGTGTTTTGGTCCCAGTGTTTTGGTCTCAGTGTTTTGGTCTCAATGTTTTGGTCTCAGTGTTTTGGTCTCAGTCCTCTGGTCTCAGTGTTCTGGTCTCAGTGTTCTGGTCTCAGTGTTTTGGTCTCAGTGTTTTGGTCTCAGTGTTTTGGTCTCAGTGTTTTGGTCCCAGTGTTTTGGTCTCAGTGTTTTGGTCCCAGTCCTCTGGTCCCAGTGTTTTGGTCTCAGTGTTTTGGTCCCAGTCCTCTGGTCCCAGTGTTTTGGTCTCAGTGTTTTGGTCTCAGTGTTTTGGTCTCAGTGTTTTGGTCCCAGTCCTCTGGTCTCAGTCCTCTGGTCCCAGTGTTTTGGTCTCAGTGTTTTGGTCTCAGTGTTTTGGTCCCAGTCCTCTGGTCTCAGTCCTCTGGTCCCAGTGTTTTGGTCCCAGTGTTTTGGTCTCAGTGTTTTGGTCCCAGTGTTTTGGTCTCAGTGTTTTGGTCTCAGTGTTTTGGTCTCAGTGTTCTGGTCTCAGTGTTCTGGTCTCAGTGTTCTGGTCTCAGTGTTTTGGTCTCAGTGTTTTGGTCCCAGTCCTCTGGTCTCAGTCCTCTGGTCTCAGTGTTCTGGTCTCAGTGTTCTGGTCTCAGTGTTTTGGTCCCAGTGTTCTGGTCTCAGTGTTTTGGTCTCAGTGTTTTGGTCCCAGTGTTTTGGTCTCAGTGTTCTGGTCCCAGTGTTTTGGTCCCAGTCCTCTGGTCTCAGTGTTCTGGTCTCAGTGTTTTGGTCTCAGTGTTTTGGTCTCAGTGTTTTGGTCTCAGTGTTTTGGTCCCAGTGTTTTGGTCTCAGTGTTCTGGTCTCAGTGTTCTGGTCCCAGTGTTTTGGTCCCAGTCCTCTGGTCTCAGTGTTCTGGTCCCAGTGTTTTGGTCCCAGTCCTCTGGTCTCAGTGTTCTGGTCTCAGTGTTTTGGTCTCAGTGTTCTGGTCCCAGTGTTTTGGTCCCAGTCCTCTGGTCCCAGTGTTTTGGTCCCAGTCCTCTGGTCCCAGTCCTCTGGTCTCAGTCCTCTGGTCTCAGTGTTTTGGTCTCAGTGTTTTGGTCTCAGTCCTCTGGTCCCAGTCCTCTGGTCTCAGTCCTCTGGTCTCAGTGTTTTGGTCTCAGTGTTTTGGTCTCAGTGTTTTGGTCTCAGTGTTTTGGTCTCAGTCCTCTGGTCTCAGTGTTTTGGTCTCAGTCCTCTGGTCTCAGTGTTCTGGTCTCAGTGTTTTGGTCTCAGTGTTTTGGTCTCAGTGTTTTGGTCTCAGTGTTTTGGTCTCAGTGTTTTGGTCCCAGTCCTCTGGTCCCAGTGTTTTGGTCTCAGTGTTTTGGTCCCAGTGTTTTGGTCCCAGTGTTTTGGTCCCAGTCCTCTGGTCTCAGTCCTCTGGTCTCAGTGTTTTGGTCTCAGTGTTCTGGTCTCAGTGTTTTGGTCTCAGTGTTTTGGTCTCAGTGTTTTGGTCTCAGTGTTTTGGTCCCAGTCCTCTGGTCCCAGTCCTCTGGTCTCAGTGTTCTGGTCCCAGTGTTCTGGTCCCAGTGTTCTGGTCTCAGTGTTCTGGTCTCAGTGTTCTGGTCTCAGTGTTTTGGTCTCAGTGTTTTGGTCTCAGTGTTTTGGTCTCAGTGTTTTGGTCTCAGTCCTCTGGTCTCAGTGTTCTGGTCTCAGTGTTTTGGTCTCAGTGTTTTGGTCTCAGTGTTTTGGTCTCAGTGTTTTGGTCCCAGTCCTCTGGTCTCAGTGTTCTGGTCTCAGTGTTCTGGTCTCAGTGTTCTGGTCTCAGTGTTTTGGTCCCAGTGTTTTGGTCTCAGTGTTTTGGTCTCAGTGTTTTGGTCTCAGTGTTTTGGTCCCAGTGTTTTGGTCTCAGTGTTTTGGTCCCAGTGTTTTGGTCTCAGTGTTTTGGTCTCAGTGTTTTGGTCTCAGTCCTCTGGTCCCAGTGTTTTGGTCCCAGTGTTTTGGTCTCAGTGTTTTGGTCTCAGTGTTCTGGTCCCAGTGTTTTGGTCCCAGTCCTCTGGTCTCAGTGTTTTGGTCTCAGTGTTTTGGTCTCAGTGTTTTGGTCTCAGTGTTTTGGTCTCAGTGTTTTGGTCTCAGTCCTCTGGTCTCAGTGTTTTGGTCTCAGTGTTTTGGTCCCAGTGTTTTGGTCTCAGTGTTTTGGTCTCAGTCCTCTGGTCCCAGTGTTTTGGTCTCAGTGTTTTGGTCTCAGTCCTCTGGTCCCAGTGTTTTGGTCCCAGTCCTCTGGTCTCAGTGTTTTGGTCTCAGTGTTTTGGTCTCAGTGTTTTGGTCCCAGTCCTCTGGTCCCAGTGTTCTGGTCTCAGTGTTCTGGTCTCAGTGTTTTGGTCTCAGTGTTTTGGTCTCAGTGTTCTGGTCTCAGTCCTCTGGTCCCAGTGTTTTGGTCCCAGTCCTCTGGTCTCAGTGTTCTGGTCTCAGTGTTCTGGTCTCAGTGTTTTGGTCTCAGTGTTTTGGTCTCAGTGTTTTGGTCTCAGTCCTCTGGTCTCAGTGTTCTGGTCTCAGTGTTCTGGTCTCAGTGTTTTGGTCTCAGTGTTCTGGTCTCAGTGTTTTGGTCTCAGTCCTCTGGTCTCAGTGTTCTGGTCCCAGTGTTTTGGTCCCAGTCCTCTGGTCTCAGTGTTCTGGTCTCAGTGTTCTGGTCTCAGTGTTTTGGTCCCAGTGTTTTGGTCTCAGTGTTTTGGTCTCAGTGTTCTGGTCCCAGTGTTTTGGTCCCAGTCCTCTGGTCTCAGTGTTCTGGTCTCAGTGTTCTGGTCTCAGTGTTCTGGTCCCAGTCCTCTGGTCTCAGTGTTCTGGTCTCAGTGTTCTGGTCTCAGTGTTTTGGTCCCAGTGTTTTGGTCTCAGTGTTTTGGTCTCAGTGTTTTGGTCTCAGTGTTTTGGTCTCAGTGTTTTGGTCTCAGTGTTTTGGTCTCAGTGTTTTGGTCTCAGTGTTTTGGTCTCAGTGTTTTGGTCTCAGTGTTTTGGTCTCAGTCCTCTGGTCCCAGTCCTCTGGTCCCAGTGTGTTTTGGTCTCAGTGTTTTGGTCCCAGTGTTTTGGTCCCAGTGTTTTGGTCTCAGTGTTTTGGTCTCAGTGTTTTGGTCCCAGTGTTTTGGTCCCAGTGTTTTGGTCTCAGTGTTTTGGTCTCAGTGTTTTGGTCCCAGTGTTTTGGTCCCAGTGTTTTGGTCTCAGTGTTTTGGTCCCAGTGTTTTGGTCCCAGTGTTTTGGTCTCAGTGTTTTGGTCTCAGTGTTCTGGTCCCAGTGTTTTGGTCTCAGTGTTTTGGTCTCAGTGTTTTGGTCTCAGTGTTCTGGTCCCAGTGTTCTGGTCCCAGTCCTCTGGTCTCAGTGTTTTGGTCCCAGTGTTTTGGTCTCAGTGTTTTGGTCTCAGTCCTCTGGTCCCAGTCCTCTGGTCCCAGTGTTTTGGTCCCAGTGTTTTGGTCTCAGTGTTTTGGTCTCAGTCCTCTGGTCCCAGTCCTCTGGTCCCAGTGTTTTGGTCTCAGTGTTTTGGTCTCAGTGTTTTGGTCTCAGTCCTCTGGTCCCAGTGTTTTGGTCTCAGTGTTTTGGTCCCAGTGTTTTGGTCCCAGTGTTTTGGTCTCAGTGTTTTGGTCCCAGTGTTTTGGTCCCAGTCCTCTGGTCTCAGTGTTCTGGTCCCAGTGTTCTGGTCCCAGTCCTCTGGTCTCAGTGTTCTGGTCTCAGTGTTCTGGTCTCAGTGTTTTGGTCTCAGTGTTTTGGTCCCAGTGTTTTGGTCTCAGTGTTTTGGTCTCAGTCCTCTGGTCCCAGTGTTTTGGTCTCAGTGTTTTGGTCTCAGTGTTTTGGTCTCAGTCCTCTGGTCCCAGTGTTTTGGTCTCAGTGTTTTGGTCTCAGTCCTCTGGTCCCAGTGTTTTGGTCTCAGTGTTTTGGTCTCAGTGTTTTGGTCCCAGTCCTCTGGTCCCAGTGTTTTGGTCTCAGTGTTTTGGTCCCAGTCCTCTGGTCCCAGTGTTTTGGTCTCAGTGTTTTGGTCCCAGTCCTCTGGTCTCAGTGTTCTGGTCTCAGTGTTCTGGTCTCAGTGTTTTGGTCTCAGTGTTTTGGTCTCAGTGTTTTGGTCTCAGTGTTTTGGTCTCAGTCCTCTGGTCCCAGTGTTTTGGTCCCAGTCCTCTGGTCTCAGTGTTCTGGTCTCAGTGTTTTGGTCTCAGTGTTTTGGTCTCAGTGTTTTGGTCCCAGTCCTCTGGTCTCAGTGTTCTGGTCTCAGTGTTCTGGTCTCAGTGTTCTGGTCTCAGTGTTCTGGTCTCAGTGTTCTGGTCTCAGTGTTTTGGTCTCAGTGTTTTGGTCCCAGTCCTCTGGTCTCAGTGTTCTGGTCCCAGTGTTTTGGTCTCAGTGTTCTGGTCTCAGTGTTTTGGTCTCAGTGTTCTGGTCTCAGTGTTTTGGTCTCAGTGTTTTGGTCTCAGTGTTCTGGTCCCAGTGTTTTGGTCCCAGTCCTCTGGTCTCAGTGTTCTGGTCTCAGTGTTCTGGTCTCAGTGTTCTGGTCCCAGTCCTCTGGTCCCAGTCCTCTGGTCTCAGTGTTCTGGTCTCAGTGTTTTGGTCTCAGTGTTTTGGTCTCAGTGTTCTGGTCTCAGTGTTTTGGTCTCAGTGTTCTGGTCCCAGTGTTTTGGTCCCAGTCCTCTGGTCTCAGTGTTCTGGTCTCAGTGTTCTGGTCTCAGTGTTTTGGTCTCAGTGTTTTGGTCTCAGTGTTCTGGTCCCAGTGTTTTGGTCCCAGTCCTCTGGTCTCAGTGTTTTGGTCTCAGTGTTTTGGTCTCAGTGTTTTGGTCTCAGTGTTTTGGTCCCAGTGTTTTGGTCTCAGTCCTCTGGTCTCAGTCCTCTGGTCTCAGTCCTCTGGTCTCAGTGTTTTGGTCCCAGTCCTCTGGTCTCAGTGTTTTGGTCTCAGTGTTTTGGTCTCAGTGTTTTGGTCCCAGTGTTCTGGTCTCAGTGTTTTGGTCTCAGTGTTTTGGTCTCAGTGTTCTGGTCTCAGTGTTTTGGTCTCAGTGTTTTGGTCTCAGTGTTTTGGTCCCAGTGTTTTGGTCTCAGTGTTTTGGTCTCAGTGTTCTGGTCTCAGTGTTTTGGTCTCAGTGTTCTGGTCTCAGTGTTTTGGTCTCAGTCCTCTGGTCTCAGTGTTCTGGTCCCAGTGTTTTGGTCCCAGTGTTTTGGTCTCAGTGTTTTGGTCCCAGTCCTCTGGTCTCAGTGTTTTGGTCTCAGTGTTTTGGTCTCAGTGTTTTGGTCTCAGTGTTTTGGTCTCAGTGTTTTGGTCTCAGTGTTTTGGTCTCAGTGTTTTGGTCTCAGTGTTTTGGTCTCAGTGTTTTGGTCTCAGTGTTTTGGTCTCAGTGTTTTGGTCTCAGTGTTTTGGTCTCAGTGTTTTGGTCCCAGTGTTTTTGGTCCCAGTCCTCTGGTCTCAGTGTTCTGGTCCCAGTCCTCTGGTCTCAGTGTTTTGGTCTCAGTGTTTTGGTCTCAGTGTTTTGGTCTCAGTGTTTTGGTCTCAGTGTTTTGGTCTCAGTGTTTTGGTCCCAGTGTTTTGGTCTCAGTGTTTTGGTCCCAGTCCTTTGGTCCCAGTGTTTTGGTCTCAGTGTTCTGGTCTCAGTGTTTTGGTCTCAGTGTTTTGGTCTCAGTGTTTTGGTCTCAGTGTTTTGGTCTCAGTGTGTTTTGGTCCCAGTGTTTTGGTCCTCAGTGTTTTGGTCTCAGTGTTTTGGTCCCAGTGTTTTGGTCTCAGTGTTTTGGTCTCAGTGTTTTGGTCTCAGTGTTTTGGTCTCAGTGTTTTGGTCCCAGTCCTCTGGTCCCAGTGTTTTGGTCTCAGTGTTTTGGTCTCAGTGTTCTGGTCTCAGTGTTTTGGTCTCAGTGTTTTGGTCTCAGTCCTCTGGTCCCAGTGTTTTTGGTCCCAGTCCTCTGGTCTCAGTGTTTTGGTCTCAGTGTTTTGGTCTCAGTGTTTTGGTCCCAGTGTTTTGGTCTCAGTGTTTTGGTCTCAGTGTTTTGGTCTCAGTGTTTTGGTCTCAGTGTTTTGGTCTCAGTGTTTTGGTCTCAGTGTTTTGGTCTCAGTGTTTTGGTCTCAGTGTTTTGGTCTCAGTGTTTTTGGTCCCAGTCCTCTGGTCTCAGTCCTCTGGTCCCAGTGTTTTGGTCTCAGTGTTTTGGTCTCAGTGTTTTGGTCCCAGTGTTTTGGTCTCAGTCCTCTGGTCCCAGTGTTTTGGTCCCAGTCCTCTGGTCTCAGTGTTCTGGTCTCAGTGTTCTGGTCTCAGTGTTCTGGTCTCAGTGTTTGGTCTCAGTCCTCTGGTCTCAGTGTTTTGGTCTCAGTGTTTTGGTCCCAGTCCTCTGGTCTCAGTGTTCTGGTCCCAGTGTTTTGGTCTCAGTGTTTTGGTCTCAGTGTTTTGGTCTCAGTGTTTTGGTCCCAGTCCTCTGGTCCCAGTCCTCTGGTCTCAGTGTTTTGGTCTCAGTGTTTTGGTCTCAGTGTTTTGGTCTCAGTGTTTTGGTCTCAGTGTTTTGGTCTCAGTGTTTTGGTCTCAGTGTTTTGGTCTCAGTGTTTTGGTCTCAGTGTTTTGGTCTCAGTGTTTTGGTCTCAGTGTTTGGTGTTTTGGTCCCAGTGTTTTGGTCTCAGTGTTTTGGTCCCAGTCCAGTCTGGTCTCAGTGTTTTGGTCTCAGTGTTTTGGTCCCAGTCCTCTGGTCTCAGTGTTCTGGTCTCAGTGTGGTCCATGTTTGGTCTCAGTGTTCTGGTCTCAGTGTTTTGGTCTCAGTGTTCTGGTCTCAGTGTTTTGGTCTGTGTTTGGTCTCAGTGTTTTGGTCTCAGTGTTCTGGTCCCAGTTTTGGTCTCAGTGTTCTGGTCTCAGTGTTTTGGTCTCAGTGTTTTGGTCTCAGTGTTTTGGTCCCAGTCCTCTGGTCTCAGTGTTCTGGTCTCAGTGTTCTGGTCTCAGTGTTTTGGTCTCAGTGTTCTGGTCTCAGTGGTCTCAGTGGTCTCAGTGTTTTGGTCTCAGTGTCCAGGTTTTGGTCTCAGTGTTTTGGTCCCCAGTGTTTTGGTCTCAGTGTTTTGGTCTCAGTGTTTTGGTGCCTCAGTGTTTGGTCTCTCAGTGTTTGGTCTCCAGTGTTTTTGGTCTCAGTGTTTTGGTCTCAGTGTTTTGGTCTCCCAGTTCTCAGTGTTCTGTCTCAGTGTTTGGTCTCAGTGTTTTGGTCTTCAGTCCTTTGGTCTCAGTGTTCTGGTCTCAGTGTTTTGGTCTCAGTGTTTTGGTCTCAGTGTTTTGGTCCTCAGTGTTCTGGTCTCAGTGTTTTGGTCTCAGTGTTCTTGTCCAGTGTTTTGGTCCCAGTGTTTTTGGTCTCAGTGTTCTGGTCTCAGTGTTCTGTCTCAGTGTTTGGTCTCATGTGTTGGTCTCAGTGTTTTTGGTCTCAGTGTTTTGGTCTCAGTGTTTTGGTCCCAGTGTTTTGGTCCCAGTCCTCAGTGTTTTGGTCCAGTGTTTGGTCTCAGTGTTTTGGTCTCAGTGTTTTGGTCTCATCTCAGACTCAGACTCTGATGCTGTCAAATATATAAATAAAAATATAAATATATTTAAATTGCCCATTAGGAGCCGGCGCAGGAGCTGTTTGTTTTCTCGCCAATGCATTTTTCTTTGAATCTCTCTTGAAAGCTTCGATCTCGTCGTCTCCGAGCGTTTGATGGTTTTGTTGGTGTGTGGTTACCGCCGTCTCACATGGTTTAGTTTTAAACACGGTCCAACGCTTTCAGGAGAAGATGTGGTTCTGGTTTTATCATTTGTTTTTGTTTGTGTTCAGGTGCAGCGCCTGGTGCAGGAGTGGGGCGGGGTCTCCACCATGAAGCAGAGACTCCTGCGACGCAGCGGGATTCTGTTCCATTCCCCCAGTTTAGGATTACAGACTCTGACCAGCAACCAGCGAGGACATACCAGCACCAAGAGGTTAGAACCAGCACCAAGAGGTTAGAACCAGCACCAAGAGGTTAGAACCAGCACCAAGAGGTTAGAACCAGCACCAAGAGGTTAGAACCTGTTTATTTTTCCTCCATATGCAACAAACAATGAGAAAAAGTCCTAACATTTGGTAAACACCTGCAGCACCACAAACCCTCAGACCCTCTGCCTCTGTCTCTGCCTCTGCCTCTGCCTCTGTCTCTGCCTCTGTCTCTGCCTCTGTCTCTGTCTCTGTCTCTGCCTCTGTCTCTGCCTCTGTCTCTGTCTCTGCCTCTGTCTCTGCCTCTGTCTCTGTCCTCTGCCTCTGTCTCTGCCTCTGCCTCTGCCTCTGCCTCTGTCTCTGCCTCTGCCTCTGTCTCTGCCTCTGCCTCTGCCTCTGCCTCTGTCTCTGTCTCTGCCTCTGCCTCTGCCTCTGTCTCTGCCTCTGCCTCTGCCTCTGCCTCTGTCTCTGCCTCTGCCTCTGCCTCTGTCTCTGCCTCTGCCTCTGCCTCTGCCTCTGTCTCTGCCTCTGCCTCTGCCTCTGCCTCTGCCTCTGTCTCTGCCTCTGCCTCTGCCTCTGCCTCTGCCTCTGCCTCTGTCTCTGTCTCTGTCTCTGTCTCTGCCTCTGTCTCTGTCTCTGCCTCTGCCTCTGTCTCTGTCTCTGTCTCTGTCTCTGTCTCTGTCTCTGTCTCTCTCTCTCTCTGTCTCTGTCTCTGTCTCTGTCTCTGTCTCTGCCTCTGCCTCTGCCTCTGTCTCTGCCTCTGCCTCTGTCTCTGTCTCTGCCTCTGCCTCTGTCTCTGTCTCTGCCTCTGCCTCTGTCTCTGTCTCTGTCTCTGTCTCTGCCTCTGTCTCTGTCTCTGCCTCTGTCTCTGTCTCTGCCTCTGCCTCTGTCTCTGCCTCTGTCTCTGTCTCTGTCTCTCTGCCTCTGCCTCTGCCTCTGTCTCTGCCTCTGTCTCTGCCTCTGTCTCTGCCTCTGCCTCTGCCTCTGTCTCTGTCTCTGCCTCTGTCTCTGCCTCTGTCTCTGTCTCTGCCTCTGCCTCTGCCTCTGCCTCTGTCTCTGTCTCTGCCTCTGTCTCTGTCTCTGTCTCTCTCTGCCTCTGTCTCTGTCTCTGTCTCTGCCTCTGCCTCTGCCTCTGTCTCTGTCTCTGCCTCTGCCTCTGTCTCTGCCTCTGCCTCTGTCTCTGTCTCTGCCTCTGTCTCTGTCTCTGTCTCTGCCTGTGTCTCTGTCTCTGTCTCTGCCTCTGTCTCTGCCTCTGCCTCTGCCTCTGCCTCTGTCTCTGTCTCTGTCTCTGCCTCTGTCTCTGTCTCTGCCTCTGTCTCTGTCTCTGCCTCTGTCTCTGTCTCTGCCTCTGTCTCTGTCTCTGCCTCTGTCTCTGTCTCTGCCTCTGTCTCTGTCTCTGCCTCTGTCTCTGTCTCTGTCTCTGTCTCTGTCTCTGCCTCTGCCTCTGTCTCTGCCTCTGTCTCTGTCTCTGCCTCTGTCTCTGCCTCTGCCTCTGCCTCTGCCTCTGCCTCTGTCTCTGCCTCTGTCTCTGTCTCTGCCTCTGTCTCTGCCTCTGTCTCTGTCTCTGTCTCTGCCTGTGTCTCTGTCTCTGCCTCTGCCTCTGTCTCTGCCTCTGCCTCTGCCTCTGCCTCTGTCTCTGCCTCTGTCTCTGTCTCTGCCTCTGCCTCTGTCTCTGCCTCTGCCTCTGCCTCTGTCTCTGTCTCTGTCTCTGCCTCTGCCTCTGTCTCTGTCTCTGTCTCTGCCTGTGTCTCTGTCTCTGTCTCTGCCTCTGCCTCTGTCTCTGCCTCTGTCTCTGCCTCTGCCTCTGCCTCTGTCTCTGCCTCTGTCTCTGCCTCTGTCTCTGTCTCTGCCTCTGTCTCTGTCTCTGCCTCTGCCTCTGCCTCTGCCTCTGCCTCTGCCTCTGTCTCTGTCTCTGTCTCTGCCTCTGCCTCTGTCTCTGTCTCTGCCTCTGCCTCTGCCTCTGTCTCTGCCTCTGCCTCTGTCTCTGTCTCTGCCTCTGTCTCTGTCTCTGTCTCTGCCTCTGTCTCTGTCTCTGTCTCTGTCTCTGCCTGTGTCTCTGTCTCTGCCTCTGCCTCTGTCTCTGCCTCTGCCTCTGTCTCTGCCTCTGCCTCTGCCTCTGTCTCTGCCTCTGTCTCTGTCTCTGCCTCTGTCTCTGTCTCTGTCTCTGCCTCTGTCTCTGTCTCTGCCTCTGTCTCTGTCTCTGTCTCTGCCTGTGTCTCTGTCTCTGCCTCTGCCTCTGTCTCTGCCTCTGCCTCTGTCTCTGCCTCTGCCTCTGCCTCTGTCTCTGCCTCTGTCTCTGTCTCTGCCTCTGCCTCTGTCTCTGTCTCTGCCTCTGCCTCTGCCTCTGCCTCTGCCTCTGTCTCTGCCTCTGTCTCTGTCTCTGTCTCTGCCTCTGCCTCTGTCTCTGTCTCTGCCTCTGCCTCTGTCTCTGTCTCTGCCTCTGTCTCTGCCTCTGTCTCTGCCTCTGTCTCTGCCTCTGCCTCTGTCTCTGCCTCTGCCTCTGTCTCTGCCTCTGTCTCTGTCTCTGCCTCTGCCTCTGTCTCTGCCTCTGCCTCTGCCTCTGTCTCTGTCTCTGTCTCTGCCTCTGCCTCTGCCTCTGTCTCTGCCTCTGCCTCTGCCTCTGTCTCTGCCTCTGTCTCTGTCTCTGCCTCTGTCTCTGTCTCTGTCTCTGTCTCTGCCTCTGTCTCTGTCTCTGCCTCTGCCTCTGTCTCTGTCTCTGCCTGTGTCTCTGTCTCTGCCTCTGCCTCTGTCTCTGTCTCTGTCTCTGTCTCTGTCTCTGTCTCTGTCTCTGCCTCTGCCTCTGTCTCTGTCTCTGCCTCTGCCTCTGCCTCTGTCTCTGTCTCTGTCTCTGTCTCTGCCTCTGCCTCTGTCTCTGTCTCTGCCTCTGCCTCTGTCTCTGCCTCTGCCTCTGTCTCTGCCTCTGTCTCTGTCTCTGCCTCTGTCTCTGTCTCTGCCTCTGTCTCTGTCTCTGCCTCTGTCTCTGTCTCTGCCTCTGTCTCTGTCTCTGCCTCTGTCTCTGTCTCTGTCTCTGTCTCTGCCTCTGTCTCTGTCTCCTCTGCCTCTGTCTCTGTCTCTGCCTCTGCCTCTGTCTCTGCCTCTGCCTCTGCCTCTGCCTCTGTCTCTGCCTCTGTCTCTGTCTCTGCCTCTGTCTCTGTCTCTGCCTCTGTCTCTGTCTCTGCCTCTGTCTCTGTCTCTGCCTCTGCCTCTGTCTCTGCCTCTGTCTCTGTCTCTGCCTCTGTCTCTGTCTCTGCCTCTGTCTCTGTCTCTGCCTCTGTCTCTGTCTCTGCCTGTGTCTCTGTCTCTGCCTCTGCCTCTGTCTCTGTCTCTGCCTCTGCCTCTGTCTCTGCCTCTGCCTCTGTCTCTGTCTCTGTCTCTGTCTCTGCCTCTGTCTCTGTCTCTGCCTCTGCCTCTGTCTCTGTCTCTGTCTCTGCCTCTGCCTCTGCCTCTGTCTCTGCCTCTGTCTCTGCCTCTGTCTCTGCCTCTGCCTCTGCCTCTGTCTCTGTCTCTGTCTCTGTCTCTGTCTCTGTCTCTGTCTCTGCCTCTGCCTCTGTCTCTGTCTCTGTCTCTGTCTCTGTCTCTGTCTCTGTCTCTGCCTCTGTCTCTCTGTCTCTGCCTCTGTCTCTGTCTCTGCCTCTGCCTCTGTCTCTGCCTCTGTCTCTCTGCCTCTGCCTCTGTCTCTGTCTCTGCCTCTGCCTCTGTCTCTGTCTCTGTCTCTGCCTCTGTCTCTGTCTCTGCCTCTGTCTCTGTCTCTGCCTCTGCCTCTGCCTCTGTCTCTGTCTCTGTCTCTGCCTCTGCCTCTGTCTCTGTCTCTGTCTCTGTCTCTGTCTCTGTCTCTGCCTCTGTCTCTGTCTCTGCCTCTGTCTCTGTCTCTGTGTCTCTGTGTCTCTGTCTCTCTCTGTCTCTGTCTCTGTCTCATATATAACACACCATAGAAGCCCATTACCATCAATGTTGCAAGCCACTGTGATAAAGATAATTGAACATCTTTCAGGGGGGGCCACTAACAGTGGTCTTGCGGGCCGGATTTGGCCCCTGGGCCTGAGTTTGACTGGCCTGCTCTGGGATAAACTCCAGCCTAACCCTGTGATGTCACAGATGCTGCTCCTGACCCGTAGCTTGACAAACGTGTGTACTGTGGCTCTCACTAATGACTCCTGACGCGGTGGATGTCGGAGTTTGCCGATTACAGGGTTGGACTCGTCTCGCCGTGTTCCTCCGCCGAGGTCGACCTGTTTGGGCTCTGAACCTAATCACGGCGAGTGGGAGGCAATTGTCGCGGCTTGATTTGACCTGTTTGATTTATACACTAATCACAACCAATCAGGCTCCCAGGCTCCGGCTCAGCGGGGCCTCGGCGGGGCCTCTGCGGGGCCTCAGCCGGCGCCAGAGACGATCGCCTTTCCACCACCGCAAACTTTAATGCACTTGGCTTTGCATTTGTCACAACGTAAACGTGAAGCTAGCACTGGATAAGTCTAAACTCAGTCTAACGTACATTTACCTGAGATCTCTGTGACATCACCTTATCACTCCGACATGACCTCTGACCCCAGGCGTTAGTGTGAAAGTCTCATTACTGGATCTACATGTGACTGTTTTTGTCTTATTTTAGTGAAATGATCTTTAACTTTTAAAATGTGAGTGAGGGCCAGTTACCATAGCAACGCACTTTGCTTGCTAGCTGTTAGCATTTGGTTTTTGACTGTATTTCAGTTAAATTCAACCGTTTTTTGCCCAAAGTGAGTGAAAGTAAAGTTCTGACTTTTTGGGGGAATTTCCCAGAATGCCATTGGTTTGATTGGGGGCAGTCAAAAGTAGTAGTTTCAGATTCTGTCTGTCCTAGCGTTAAAACGATGAGTAGCTTAAATAATCCATATTTAGTGCTAAAGCGTGGCTAACTAGCTAGCATGTGATCAGATAGTTCTCTAAACCAGTCTGTGTTTCTGGCCTCGGTCACATCTTTACCTTTTTTAGACTGAAAAGTGAAACAGAGGACCACCCTTTCTCGGCCAATCCGCTCTCCGCACTAAGCTTAGTGACAGCTAGTCTGCAACTGCTTAGTTTAAAGAATTATGGGATATTTTCTCAATGAAGACACAAAACGATGACATCATACAGGACCGAGATCAGAGTCAGGGGTCACATGTCGGTCAGAGGTTTCTGGATATTAGCATGGACAGATCTAAAAGCACCTGCAGGTCTGTGTGTGTCTCCTTTAAGACTAGCGTAGCAGCGTTGTTAGCGCGGTGAAGCTTAACCACGCATCATCAGTTGTTTTTGTGCTGGAGGATAACAAGCCATTCAGACCCGTTTAATAACCAACGATAACGACTGGATCTTATCCCGAGGACTCGGAGGGAATGGTTTTGGATAACTTGTTTTCCTCAAGTCGTTAACGTAATCACTGAAAACATCACCATGGAGACCGCTTGTAAAACAGGTTTAATGACTCAGTACAGAGCTGATGTAGCGTTAGCGTTAGCCTGCGGTATTATGTTATTTATTATCACATTTATGGATTATGTGAGAGCAAAGGAGATGGAGGAGAGACCATTGAAATCAGGAAGTAGGAGCACGGACCATCAACGGAGACCAGGGGGCCTTCACCTTAGCTCACTGTTGGGACTCACTTCTCCAGAGACCACAGGGGGGCGTGGTCAGTCTGAGGGGGCGTGGTCAGTCTGAGGGTGTGGTCAGTCTGAGGGGGTGTCTGTCCAAGGGGCTGTGGGGTCTGGTCCGAGGGGGCGTGGTCTGTCCGAGGGGGTTTGGTCAGTCTGAGGGGGCGTGGTCTGTCCGAGGGGGTTTGGTCAGTCTGAGGGGGCGTGGTCTGTCCGAGGGGGCGTGGTCTGTCCGAGGGGGTTTGGTCAGTCTGAGGGATTGTGGTCAGTCTGAGGGGGCGTGGTCCGAATCTGAGGGGGCGTGTTCCGAATCTGAGGGGGCGTGTTCTGTCTGAGGAGGCGTGGCTTGTCTGAAGAAGGGTGGTCTGTCTGAGGGGGCGTGGTTATAGACTGTGGGGGCGTGGCCTGTCTGACAGCTTTGTGGTAATTAAGCAGAACTAGCGTCATTACACTTTTGTCTTCTAAGCTAACAGATCAGTCTGAGGGGGCGTGGTCATAGTATGAGGGGGCGTGGTCATAGTATGAGGGGGCGTGGCCAGTCTGAACTGTCAAACATGTGGTCATTAAGTAGAACTAGGTAAAAGGAGATGGACCGTTCTCTTCGCTGCTTAGAACTTATAGTTTGCATCTGTTTCCTCGGTCACAGGTCAGAGGTCAGAGGACCACCCTCTCTCAGCCAATCAGAGGGCTCCGCAGCTTTAAAGGGGCACTCTGCCACTTTGCTTTTGGAGATTCTAAATGTAGTTTTACTCAGATATCCCACTGACTGGCCTTAGATCGTCCTGTGGAGAAGTGTTGAATAAGATCAAACATCTCTGAGGAAAAGGTGATATTGTTTTTATTTTCACCTCGACCTTCGCAGCGCGTCGTACTTGGATGTAAATTATGAACAAACAATTTCCCGCTGCTTTTAATGAGTAAATATTGACAGTGTTTAATGAGCGTCCACTCAGACCAGGCCTCGTTCTGTGGGAAAACCACGGTCCTAAATCCAGTAGCTAGTTCATCAGTGTGTGTAGCTAGTTCATCAGTGTGTGTAGCTAGTTCATCAGTGTGTGTAGCTAGTTCATCAGTGTGTAGCTAGTTCATCAGTGTGTAGCTAGTTCATCAGTGTGTAGCTAGTTCATCAGTGTGTAGCTAGTTCATCAGTGTGTAGCTAGTTCATCAGTGTGTGTAGCTAGTTCATCAGTGTGTAGCTAGTTCATCAGTGTGTAGCTAGTTCATCAGTGTGTAGCTAGTTCATCAGTGTGTAGCTAGTTCATCAGTGTGTAGCTAGTTCATCAGTGTGTGTAGCTAGTTCATCAGTGTGTGTAGCTAGTTCATCAGTGTGTAGCTAGTTCATCAGTGTGTAGCTAGTTCATCAGTGTGTAGCTAGTTCATCAGTGTGTAGCTAGTTCATCAGTGTGTAGCTAGTTCATCAGTGTGTAGCTAGTTCATCAGTGTGTAGCTAGTTCATCAGTGTGTAGCTAGTTCATCAGTGTGTAGCTAGTTCATCAGTGTGTAGCTAGTTCATCAGTGTGTGTAGCTAGTTCATCAGTGTGTGTAGCTAGTTCATCAGTGTGTGTAGCTAGTTCATCAGTGTGTAGCTAGTTCATCAGTGTGTAGCTAGTTCATCAGTGTGTAGCTAGTTCATCAGTGTGTGTAGCTAGTTCATCAGTGTGTAGCTAGTTCATCAGTGTGTAGCTAGTTCATCAGTGTGTGTAGCTAGTTCATCAGTGTGTAGCTAGTTCATCAGTGTGTGTAGCTAGTTCATCAGTGTGTGTAGCTAGTTCATCAGTGTGTAGCTAGTTCATCAGTGTGTGTAGCTAGTTCATCAGTGTGTGTAGCTAGTTCATCAGTGTGTGTAGCTAGTTCATCAGTGTGTAGCTAGTTCATCAGTGTGTGTAGCTAGTTCATCAGTGTGTAGCTAGTTCATCAGTGTGTAGCTAGTTCATCAGTGTGTGTAGCTAGTTCATCAGTGTGTAGCTAGTTCATCAGTGTGTAGCTAGTTCATCAGTGTGTAGCTAGTTCATCAGTGTGTAGCTAGTTCATCAGTGTGTAGCTAGTTCATCAGTGTGTGTAGCTAGTTCATCAGTGTGTGTAGCTAGTTCATCAGTGTGTGTAGCTAGTTCATCAGTGTGTAGCTAGTTCATCAGTGTGTGTAGCTAGTTCATCAGTGTGTAGCTAGTTCATCAGTGTGTAGCTAGTTCATCAGTGTGTGTAGCTAGTTCATCAGTGTGTAGCTAGTTCATCAGTGTGTAGCTAGTTCATCAGTGTGTAGCTAGTTCATCAGTGTGTAGCTAGTTCATCAGTGTGTAGCTAGTTCATCAGTGTGTGTAGCTAGTTCATCAGTGTGTAGCTAGTTCATCAGTGTGTGTAGCTAGTTCATCAGTGTGTAGCTAGTTCATCAGTGTGTGTAGCTAGTTCATCAGTGTGTAGCTAGTTCATCAGTGTGTGTAGCTAGTTCATCGGTGTGTAGCTAGTTCATCAGTGTGTAGCTAGTTCATCGGTGTGTAGCTAGTTCATCAGTGTGTGTAGCTAGTTCATCAGTGTGTGTAGCTAGTTCATCAGTGTGTAGCTAGTTCATCAGTGTGTAGCTAGTTCATCAGTGTGTAGCTAGTTCATCAGTGTGTAGCTAGTTCATCAGTGTGTAGCTAGTTCATCAGTGTGTAGCTAGTTCATCAGTGTGTAGCTAGTTCATCAGTGTGTAGCTAGTTCATCAGTGTGTAGCTAGTTCATCAGTGTGTAGCTAGTTCATCAGTGTGTAGCTAGTTCATCAGTGTGTAGCTAGTTCATCAGTGTGTAGCTAGTTCATCAGTGTGTAGCTAGTTCATCAGTGTGTGTAGCTAGTTCATCAGTGTGTGTAGCTAGTTCATCAGTGTGTAGCTAGTTCATCAGTGTGTAGCTAGTTCATCAGTGTGTAGCTAGTTCATCAGTGTGTAGCTAGTTCATCAGTGTGTAGCTAGTTCATCAGTGTGTGTAGCTAGTTCATCAGTGTGTGTAGCTAGTTCATCAGTGTGTAGCTAGTTCATCAGTGTGTGTAGCTAGTTCATCAGTGTGTGTAGCTAGTTCATCAGTGTGTGTAGCTAGTTCATCAGTGTGTAGCTAGTTCATCAGTGTGTAGCTAGTTCATCAGTGTGTAGCTAGTTCATCAGTGTGTGTAGCTAGTTCATCAGTGTGTAGCTAGTTCATCAGTGTGTAGCTAGTTCATCAGTGTGTGTAGCTAGTTCATCAGTGTGTAGCTAGTTCATCAGTGTGTAGCTAGTTCATCAGTGTGTGTAGCTAGTTCATCAGTGTGTAGCTAGTTCATCAGTGTGTGTAGCTAGTTCATCAGTGTGTAGCTAGTTCATCAGTGTGTGTAGCTAGTTCATCAGTGTGTGTAGCTAGTTCATCAGTGTGTAGCTAGTTCATCAGTGTGTGTAGCTAGTTCATCAGTGTGTAGCTAGTTCATCAGTGTGTGTAGCTAGTTCATCAGTGTGTAGCTAGTTCATCAGTGTGTGTAGCTAGTTCATCAGTGTGTGTAGCTAGTTCATCAGTGTGTGTAGCTAGTTCATCGGTGTGTAGCTAGTTCATAAAGCTCTGAACCGCTTTGGACCAAAATGTAAATATAAATCTGTAAATTATTCCGAAAAAAGTGCAAGAAAAGACAAGACTGTATTCCAACAATTCAGATGTGGGAGGAGTGCAAGGAAGAATGGGCAAAAATACCTCAAATCAGACTCTCGCAGTCGTGTGAAGAAAAAGCTTCTCTCTCTCGTGCTGCGATGACCTCACCCCCCTCCTACCTCACCCCCCTCCTACCTCACACCCCTCCTACCTCACCCCCCTCCTACCTCACCCCCCTCCTACCTCACCCCCCTCCTACCTCACCCCCCTCCTACCTCACCCCCCTCCTACCTCACTCCCCTCCTACCTCACCCCCCTCCTACCTCACTCCCCTCCTACCTCACCCCCCTCCTACCTCACCCCCCTCCTACCTCACCCCCCTCCTACCTCACCCCCCTCCTACCTCACCCCCCTCCTACCTCACCCCCCTCCTACCTCACCCCCCCTCCTACCTCACCCCCCCTCCTACCTCACCCCCCCTCCTACCTCACCCCCCTCCTACCTCACCCCCCTCCTACCTCACCCCCCTCCTACCTCACCCCCCCTCCTACCTCACCCCCCCTTCTACCTCACCCCCCCTCCTACCTCACCCCCCTCATACCTCACCCCCCTCCTACCTCACCCCCCCTACCTCACCCCCTCCTACCTCACCCCCCTCCTACCTCACCCCCCTCCTACCTCACCTCCCCTCCTACCTCACCCCCCTCCTACCTCACCCCCCTCCTACCTCACCCCCCCCCTACCTCACCCCCCTCCTACCTCACCCCCCTCCTACCTCACCTCCCCTCCTACCTCACCCCCCTCCTACCTCCACCCCCCCTCCTACCTCACCCCCCCTCCTACCTCACCCCCCCTCCTACCTCACACCCCCTCCTACCTCACCCCCCCTCCTACCTCACCCCCCCTCCTACCTCACCCCCCTCCTACCTCACCACCCCCCTCCTACCTCACCCCCCCCTCCTACCTCACCCCCCTCCTACCTCACCCCCCCTCCTACCTCACCCCCCCTCCTACCTCCCCCCCCTCCTACCTCACCCCCCCTCCCTCCTCACCCCGCCCTCCTACCTCACCCCGCCCTCCTACCTCACCCCGCCCTCCTACCTCACCCCCCTCCTACCTCACCCCCCTCCTACCTCACCCCCCTCCTACCTCACCCCCCCTCCTACCTCACCCCCCCTCCCTACCTCACCCCCCTCCTACCTCACCCCCCTCCTACCTCACCCCCCCTCCTACCTCACCGCCCCTCCTACCTCACCCCCCTCCTACCTCACCCCCCTCCTACCTCACCCCCCTCCTACCTCACCCCCCCCCCTCCTACCCTCACCCCCCCTCCCCCTCACCCCCCCTCCTACCTCACCCCCCTCCTACCTCACCCCCCCTCCTACCTCACCCCCCCTCCTACCTCACCCCCCCCTCCTCACCTCACCCCCCCCCCCTACCTCACCCCCCCTCCTACCTCACCCCCCCTCCTACCTAACCCCCCTCCTACCTCACCCCCCTCCTACCTCACCCCCCCTCCTACCTCACCCCCCCCTCCTACCTCACCCCCCCTCCTACCTCACCCCCCCTCCTACCTCACCCCCCTCCTACCTCACTCCCCTCCTACCTCACCCCCCCCTCCTACCTCACCCCCCTCCTACCTAACACCCCTCCTACCTCACCCCCCCTCCTACCTCACCCCCCTCCTACCTCACCCCCCTCCTACCTCACCCCCCCTCCTACCTCCCCCCCTCCTACCTCACCCCCCCCTCCTACCTCACCCCCCTCCTACCTCACCCCCCTCCTACCACACCCCCCTCCTACCTCACCCCCCCTCCTACCTCACCCCCCTCCTACCTCACCCCCCTCCTACCTCACCCCCCTCCTACCTCACCCCCCTCCTACCTCACCCCCCTCCTACCTCACCCCCCTCCTACCTCACCCCCCTCCTACCTCACCCCCCCTCCCTCCTCACCCCGCCCTCCTACCTCACCCCCCCTCCTACCTCACCCCCCCTCCTACCTCACCCCCCCTCCTACCTCACCCCCCTCCTACCTCACCCCCCCCCCTACCTCACCCCCCCTCCTACCTCACCCCCCTCCTACCTAACCCCCCTCCTACCTCACTCCCCTCCTACCTCACCCCCCCCTCCTACCTCACCCCCCCCCTCCTAACCTCACCCCCCCTCCTACCTCACCCCCCTCCTACCTCACCCCCCCCTCCTACCTCACCCCCCCCTCCTACCTCACCCCCCTCCTACCTAACACCCCTCCTACCTCACCCCCCCTCCTACCTCACCCCCCTCCTACCTCACCCTCCCCTCCTACCTCACCCCCCTCCTACCTCACCTCCCATCCTACCTCACTCCCCTCCTACCTCACCCCCCTCCTACCTCACTCCCCTCCTACCTCACCCCCCCTCCTACCTCACTCCCCTCCTACCTCACTCCCCTCCTACCTCACCCCCCTCCTACCTCACCCCCCTCCTACCTCACCCCCCCTCCTACCTCACCCCCCTCCTACCTAACCCCCCTCCTACCTCACTCCCCTCCTACCTCACCCCCCCCTCCTACCTCACCCCCCCTCCTACCTCACCCCCCCTCCTACCTCACCCCCCTCCTACCTCACCCCCCCCCTCCTACCTCACCCCCCCCTCCTACCTCACCCCCTCCTACCTAACACCCCTCCTACCTCACCACCCCCCCTCCTACCTCACCCCCCTCCTACCTCACCCTCCCCTCCTACCTCACCCCCTCCTACCTCACCCCCCCTCCTACCTCACCCCCCTCCTACCTAACACCCCTCCTACCTCACCCCCCCTCCTACCTCACCCCCCTCCTACCTCATCCCCCTCCTACCTCACTCCCCCTCCTACCTCACCCCCCTCCTACCTCACCCCCCTCCTACCTCACCCCCCTCCTACCTCACCCCCCTCCTACCTCACCCCCCCCTCCTACCTCACCCCCCTCCTACCTAACACCCCTCCTACCTCACCCCCCCCCTCCTACCTCACCCCCCTCCTACCTCACCCCCCTCCTACCTCACCCCCCCCTCCTACCTCACCCCCCTCCTACCTCACCCCCCTCCTACCTCACCCCCCTCCTACCTCACCCCCCTCCTACCTCACCCCCCCTCCCTCCTCACTCCCCCTCCTACCTCACCCCCCTCCTACCTCACCCCCCCTCCTACCTCACCCCCCTCCTACCTCACCCCCCCCCCCTACCTCACCCCCCCTCCCTCCTCACCCCGCCCTCCTACCTCACCCCCCCTCCTACCTCACCCCGCCCTCCTACCTCACCCCCCCTCCTACCTCACCCCCCCCTCCTACCTCCCCCCGCCCTCCTACCTCACCCCCCCCTACCTACCCCCCTCACCTCCCCCCCTCCTACCTCACCCCCCTCCTACCTCACCCCCCTCCTACCTCACCTCCCCATCCTACCTCACTCCCCTCCTACCTCACTCCCCTCCTACCTCACTCCCCTCCTACCTCACCCCCCCTCCCTCACCCCCTCTACCTACCCCCCTCCTCCCTCCTATCCCCCCCTCCTACCTCACCCCCCTCCTACCTCACCCCCCTCCTACCTCACCCCCTCCTACCTCACCCCCTCACCCCCCCCTCCTACCTCACCCCCCCTACCTACCTCACCCCCCCCCTCCTCCTACCTCACCCCCCCCTCCTACCTCACCCCCCTCCTACCTCACCCCCCCCCTACCTCACCCCCCCCTACCTCACTCCCCTCCTACCTCACCCCCCCTCCTACCTCACCCCCCTCCTACCTCACCCCCCCTACCTCACCTCACCTCACCCCCCCTCCTACCTCACCCCCCTCCTACCTCACCCCCCCTCCTACCTCCCCCCCCTCCTACCCCCCCCTACACCTCACCCCCCTCCTACCTCACCCCCCTCCTACCTCACCCCCCCTACCTCACCCCCCTCCTCCTCCTCCCCCCTCCTACCCTCCCCCCTCCTACCTCACCCCCCCTCCTACCTCACCCCCCCTCCTACCTCACCCCCCTCCTACCTCACCCCCCTCCTCCTCCTCACCCCCCCTCCTCCTCACCCCCCTCCTACCTCACCCCCCCTCCTACCTCACCCCCCCTCCTACCTCACCCTCCTCCTTACCTCACCCCCCCTCCTACCTCACCCCCCCTCCCTCCTCACCCCCCTCCTCCTCCTCCTCACCCCCCCCTACCCTACCTCACCCCGCCCTCCTACCTCACCCCCCTCCTACCTCCTCACCCCCCTCCTTACCTCCTCACCCTCCTCCTCACCCTCCTCCTTACCTCCTCACCCTCCTCCTTACCTCCTCACCCCTCCTTCCTCACTCACCTCCTCCTACCCTCCTCACCCTCCTCCTCACCCTCCTCTACCCCTCCTCCTCACCCTCCTCCTCACCCTCCTCCTCACCCCCTCCTCACCTCCTCACCCTCCTCCTTACCTCCTCACCCTCCTCCTCACCCTCCTCCTTACCTCCTCACCCTCCTCCTCACCCTCCTCCCCTCCTCCTCACCCTCCTCCTTACCTCCTCACCCTCCTCCTCACCCTCCTCCTTACCTCCTCACCCTCCTCCTCACCCTCCTCCTCACCCTCCTCCCTCACCTCCTCACCCCTCCTCACCCTCCTCCTCACCCTCCTCCTCCTACCTCCTCACCCTCCTCCTCACCCTCCTCCTTACCTCCTCACCCCCTCCTCACCCTCCTCACCCTCCTCCTCACCCTCCTCCTTACCTCCTCACCCTCCTCCTTACCTCCTCACCCTCCTCCTCACCCTCCTCCTCACCCTCCTCCTTACCTCCTCACCCTCCTCCTCACCCTCCTCCTTACCTCCTCACCCCCCTCCTCACCCTCCTCCTCACCCTCCTCCTCACCCTCCTCCTTACCTCCTCACCCCCCTCCTTACCTCCTCACCCTCCTCCTTACCTCCTCACCCTCCTCCTCACCCTCCTCCTCACCCCCCTCCTCACCCCCCTCCTTACCTCCTCACCCCCTCCTTACCTCCTCACCCTCCTCCTTACCTCCTCACCCTCCTCCTCACCCTCCTCCTACCTCCTCACCCCCCTCCTCCTCCTCACCCCTCCTCCTCACCCCTCCTCACCCTCCTCCTCACCCTCCTCCTTACCTCCTCACCCTCCTCCTCACCCTCCTCCTTACCTCCTCACCCTCCTCCTCACCCTCCTCCTTACCTCCTCACCCTCCTCCTCACCCTCCTCCTTACCCCCCTCCTCCTACCTCCTCACCCTCCTCCTTACCTCCTCCTCACCCCTCCTCACCCTCCTCCTTACCTCCTCACCCTCCTCCTTACCTCCTCACCCCCCTCCTTACCTCCTCACCCTCCTCCTTACCTCCTCACCCTCCTCCTCACCCTCCTCCTTACCTCCTCACCCTCCTCCTCACCCTCCTCCTTACCCTCCTCCTTACCTCCTCACCCTCCTCCTCACCCTCCTCCTTACCTCCTCACCCCCTCCTCACCCTCCTCCTCACCCCCTCCTTACCCCCTCCTTACCTCCTCACCTCCTCCTCACCCCTCCTCACCCCCTCCTCACCCTCCTCCTCACCCTCCTCCTCCCTCCTCTCACCCTCCTCCTCACCCCCCTCCTCACCTCCTCCTCACCCTCCTCCTCACCCTCCTCCACCCCCTCCTCCCCTCCCCTCCTCCTCACCCCCTCCTCCTCCTCACCCTCCTCCTACCTCTCTCCCCTCCTCCTCACCCTCCTCCTCACCCTCCTCCTTACCTCCTCACCCCCTCCTCACCTCCTCACCCCCTCCTCACCCTCCTCCTCACCCTCCTCCTCACCCTCCTCCTTACCTCCTCACCCTCCTCCTCACCCTCCTCCTCACCCTCCTCCTTACCTCCTCACCCCTCTCCTCCTCAACCCCTCCTCCTCACCCTCCTCCTCACCCTCCTCCTCACCCCCCTCCTCACCCCCTCCTCACCCCCTCCTCACCCCCCTCCTCACCCCCTCCTCCTCTCCTCACCCTCCTCCTCACCCTCCTCACCCTCCTCACCCCCTCCTCCTCTCCTCAAATATTATTGTAATCATATTTTCTTCATGAGTTGGTCCCGAGAACAAAGCTCCAGGGTCCTGCTTTTTTTCAGTGTGTTTGGGGCTGGTTGCTAGGAGACGGAAAACAGCAGTTGGTAGTTTGCAGTTAGTAATTAGTAGTTGGTAGTTAGTCCTCTGTAGTCTGTAGTGGGTAGTTTGTGTTGAAGATGGAGAAGATTGTCCATGTTTACTCTCGGCGCCGCAGTGACTTTGGTCGTCCCTGTGTTCTGAGCGACCGAGACCCAGAGGTCACTGTGGACATCGTCCCAGAACCAGGACTCATAGGAAACTTCATCCACTGCACACCCAGAGACCAGGCCAGCCAGGCGGGTCAGGACCTGTCCCAGCACCAGGTAACAGCGCCCCCTGCTGGGTGTAGTGACTGTGTTAGTGACAGCGCCCTCTGCTGGGTGTAGTGACTGTGTTAGTGACAGCGCCCTCTGCTGGGTGTAGTGACTGTGTTAGTGACAGCGCCCTCTGCTGGGTGTAGTGACTGTGTTAGTGACAGCGCCCTCTGCTGGGTGTAGTGACTGTGTTAGTGACAGCGCCCTCTGCTGGGTGTAGTGACTGTGTTAGTGACAGCGCCCTCTGCTGGGTGTAGTGACTGTGTTAGTGACAGCGCCCTCTGCTGGGTGTAGTGACTGTGTTAGTGACAGCGCCCTCTGCTGGGTGTAGTGACTGTGTTAGTGACAGCGCCCCCTGCTGGGTGTAGTGAGTGAGTGACTGTGTTAGTGACAGCGCCCTCTGCTGGGTGTAGTGACTGTGTTAGTGACAGCGCCCTCTGCTGGGTGTAGTGACTGTGTTAGTGACAGCGCCCTCTGCTGGTGTAGTGACTGTGTTAGTGACAGCGCCCTCTGCTGGGTGTAGTGACTGTGTTAGTGACAGCGCCCTCTGCTGGGTGTAGTGACTGTGTTAGTGACAGCGCCCTCTGCTGGGTGTAGTGACTGTGTTAGTGACAGCGCCCTCTGCTGGGTGTAGTGACTGTGTTAGTGACAGCGCCCTCTGCTGGGTGTAGTGACTGTGTTAGTGACAGCGCCCTCTGCTGGGTGTAGTGACTGTGTTAGTGACAGCGCCCTCTGCTGGGGTGTAGTGACTGTGTTAGTGACAGCGCCCTCTGCTGGGTGTAGTGACTGTGTTAGTGACAGCGCCCTCTGCTGGGTGTAGTGACTGTGTTAGTGACAGCGCCCTCTGCTGGGTGTAGTGACTGTGTTAGTGACAGCGCCCTCTGCTGGGTGTAGTGACTGTGTTAGTGACAGCGCCCTCTGCTGGGTGTAGTGACTGTGTTAGTGACAGCGCCCTCTGCTGGGTGTAGTGACTGTGTTAGTGACAGCGCCCTCTGCTGGGTGTAGTGACTGTGTTAGTGACAGCGCCCTCTGCTGGGTGTAGTGACTGTGTTAGTGACAGCGCCCTCTGCTGGGTGTAGTGACTGTGTTAGTGACAGCGCCCTCTGCTGGGTGTAGTGACTGAGTTAGTGACAGCGCCCCTGCTGGGTGTCTGAAGTGACTGTGTTAGTGACAGCGCCCTCTGCTGGGTGTAGTGACTGTGTTAGTGACAGCGCCCTCTGCTGGGTGTAGTGACTGTGTTAGTGACAGCGCCCTCTGCTGGGTGTAGTGACTGTGTTAGTGACAGCGATCGCATTCATCTGGAGTGATGATTTTATTTTACAAGTTTCCTGGGACAATAATAGACTTTAATAGTGACACAAACGGTCATTGGCTTATGGTAGTGGTTGAAATAGAAAATTCCAGATTTATTATAATTAACGTATATGGCTACAATGTTAAATCCCAGAAAAAGATATTCTATGCAGATTTGTGTGAGAGAATTATACAATGGAAACAAACATATCTGAGTGATAACATTATACTTGGGGGTGACTTTAATTTAGTACCAAATAATGCAGTGGATAGGCTCCCCACTAGGGAGCAGCATAACGCCTTTGATGACATATTTTTGGATTTGATTCACAATACTGGCTTAATTGACTGTTGGAGATTAAGAAACAGTATTACAAGACAATACACTTGGTTCAATGCTTCCAATAATGGTCAGTGCTCGAGGCTGGACTATTGGCTCATACCACACAACTGGATCAATAGCATATCTCAATATCATATTACTGCCTCTCCCTTAACTGACCACTGTGCTGTGACTCTAAGTCTTACCTTAAACAATAACAGACCTCCACCACTCATCATTTGGAAATTCAACAATACTCTTTTATTCAATGACCTTTTTTGCAAAGAAGTTAAACATCTCATTGCTGAAATAAACTCCCTTGAATTAACACCCTTGAATAAGTGGGAGTGGTTTAAATTCAAAGTAAAAGAAATTGCAATTAAGACTGGAAAACTCTCTGCTCAACAGAAAAGAGCCAAACAAACTGAAATTATCACTGCAATTAATTTCATGTGTGCTAAAGATAGTTTATCAAATGAAGAAAAAGAACAACTAGTGACTCTAAAAAACCAACTTGATACGTTTTTCTTAGAGAAGGCTAAAGGTGCTTTTGTTCGGTCTAAGGCTCGCTGGATTGAGGAAGGTGAAAAGAACACTTCGTATTTTTTTAGTCTTGAGAAACATAGACAATCCAAAAAGAGAATTTCTAAATTAAATATAAATGGTGTCATTACTGAAGAGTCAGACAAAATTAATTCATCAATCTTTACTTTTTATTCCAAACTATACCACACAAATTTCTCTGAGCCGAGCTGTAAATCCTTTTTAGATTCAATCAAATCTGTAGGAAGAAAAATTAAGGATGAATTTAAAAGTGATATGGAAGATGATTTGATTATTGAAGAACTTGATACAGCAATCCATCAAATGGCCAAAGGGAAGTCACCTGGCCTCGACGGCCTGACTGCTGAATTTTTTATTTTCTTTTGGGTTGATATTCGTCAATTAGTATTCAAAGCCCTTTGTGAATGTATTACAAGCCAAAATCTTTCACCCACTATGAAACGTGGCCTTATTACTCTGATCCCCAAAGCTAATAAAGACCCTCTTTTAATTGATAATTGGCGACCAATCACGCTGTTGTGTACTGATTATAAATTATTGGCCCTCGTCTATGCCAACCGATTGAATAGAGCTCTAGCTGATATTGTTAGTGAATGTCAATCTGCGTTTATCAAGGGAAGGAATATACACTTTCACACAAGACTGATCTTAGACATGATAGACTATCGCCAATTTATAGAAAACGAAAGTTTACTATTATTCCTTGATTTCTATAAAGCCTTTGACTCACTTGAACATCGCTTTATTATTGAAACACTGAAATTTTTAGGTTTTGGGGATAATTTTTGCAGAATAATCAACATGTTTTATTCAGATATAAGTAGCTCCGTTTCTTTAGTTTCAGCTGTGACTCCTAGCTTTAAAATGTCAAGGGGAATCCGCCAAGGTTGTCCAATTTCTCCAAAATTGTTCATATTAACAACACAATTACTTACTTTAGCAATAATGAATAATCCAAATTTGCAAGGAATCCAAATATTTGAAAAAGAATTCAAGATTAGCCAGTTTGCAGACGATACAGCTCTCTTCCTCAAAGACAAGACCATGGTGAGTGTTGCTCTAAATCTGATCGGTGCCTTTTCGGAGGCATCAGGTTTGTCTCTCAACCTTAAAAAGTGTGAACTGTTTCCAATCCATGCTTGTCATGAGAGCTCTATCAACTCCATTAATGTTAAATATGAAATCAAATATTTAGGATTAACTATTACTAGAGATGTTGAGAAAATGGAAGAGCTTAACATAGAGAAACGTATCGTTGATATGAAAAAGTCTCTAAATCATTGGCTTACAAGGGATCTTACCATTTTTGGAAGAGTTCTTTTGTCTAAGGCAGAGGGTGTATCAAGACTAATTTATCCTTGTCATACTCTCTTCATTTTAAATAGAAACATCAAGAAAGCCAACTCAATTATTTTCCAGTTCTTATGGCGGAACAAAGCACATTACTTGAAAAGATCTACCATGGTTAAAGAATATTGTAATGGTGGTGTTAAAGCATTAGACTTTGAACCACTGATTGGATCATTTAGAGTCAGTTGGTTAAAAGCTTTTTTCTCTTCACCAGCTAGTATGTGGTTTCATATCCCTAAGGCTATTTTTGACAAATTCGGGGGTCTAGATTTTTTGTTGAGATGTGATTTTGAGTTAAATAAAATCCCATTTGCTCTATCAAAATTCCACAGCCAGTTATTACATTATTGGAAAATGGTCTTCAAGCACAATTTCACCCCTCATGGATCTGTTCTGTGGAATAACAGATCTATTCTTATTAGTAGAAAATCAATTTTTAAGTCAGAGTGGTTTAATAAAGGGGTCATGTTTGTAACTGATGTCTTAGACAGTAATGGAGAGCTATTGGAGCACAACATTTTTGTCAACCGGTTTAATTTATATTGTACACATCGAGATTATCAGAAAGTCTGCAAAGCCATCCCTGCAGCCTTGATTCATCTGATCCGTAATGTTCAAGTTCACTCCACTGTCACTCCAACATTGCCGAGTTTGCTGTTAAACAATCTAAATTTGGTCGATAAGAAATGTCATAACAAAGTTGTAACTGATGCTTTCAAATCTTGTCTTTATCATGGATACAATAGGGTAGTTTTTATCAATGAAGTTTCTGTTTTACTGAATGAGGCCTTCTCCAAGTACATTAAATGGCCAATTCCACCAAAAGTCAAAGAAACTCACTTTAAGATTTGCCACAAAATTTATCCAGTGTCCAATTTTCTTTATAAACGGTTTAAGTATGAAAACTCAGGCTGTACTTTTTGTGATTGTCCTGAGGAAACCTTGGAGCATTTGTTTTTCACCTGTTCAGTCTCTCGTAAATTTTGGAGTGACATCAGAGAGTGGCTTTCCTTAAAGATTTTGGATCTTCCTGATTTTGAATTGTGTCACATATTTTATTTTGTCAAAGATTTAGATAGGAAAGTCTCAGGTTTTGTAAATATTGTTTTTCTATTAGCCAAATACCATATTCATTGTAGCAAATGGAGAAAGTCAAGCCCCTGCTTCAATCATTTTTTGAATGATTTCAGAATCTACTATTCCTCGTTAAAATTGCTTAAATCTGCCATTGCAATAGAAATTTGTGCCTCTATGTCTAAATTCCTTATGTTGTAGAAATGTCTGTATCCTATTCTTATGTGTCTGATTAACCTGATTTGCCTCAATTGTACAATCCCCAAGTTAATGCATACATTGTTTTATTTTCCTATGTCATGTCACCTCTGCAAGAGTTTGATTCAATAAAAAAAAAAAATAAAGAAAAAAAAAAAAAAAAAAAAAAGGGGGGAGGAGGAGGAAGGGCCGGGGAGGAGAGGAGCGCCCCCTGCTGCACGGGGGGAGGAGGAGGAAGGGCCGGGGAGGAGAGGAGCGCCCCCTGCTGCACGGGGGGAGGACGGCGGAGGTCAGCACAACACAACCAAATGTTCAGAACAATCACTGTCAATCATTTTTCCTTTGGCTGTCTTTAAAGTCATGACTGTTTTTCTTTTGTCTTGTCTGTCTGTATGTTTTAAATTCAACCTAGTTCAATCATTCACAAAGTTACACAAACAAGATAGAAACCATCACACAAGGCAATAAAATCATAAACAAAACTGTTTTTAACCTGGATTTGAACATTGTCAGAGAAGAAGTCTGTCTCACATCTTCAGGAAGACTGTTCCAGGTTTTAGCTGCATAAATCTGAAACGGTGCCTCCGTACAGTCTATGGTTTAGTCCTGGCTTCTCACTATCGTTATAAATATAGAGCCACAAAATAAATTGGTTCAGCCATTAGTTTCTGAACAATAAATGTTGTCATTTTTGAAACAACCCAACAGTTTATTATTCATATTTATTAATTATTTGTATTTCTTTCATGATATTTTTTTGTGAGTAGGCGGATACATTTCTTTAAAAAAATAAATGTGTATTTATTATTTATTATATCTATACCCCATGTATTATTGTTATTGCATCATGAATGCCAAAGTAAATTCCAAGTTTGATTTTCCTTTTCACCAAGAATGACAATAAAGTCAGAGTCTGTGCAGTTACCTACATCCACCACAAGATGGAGCCAGAGACGGAGGTCAGAAGTTGCATGTGATTTTTATCTTTCCCTCGGTGCTAATAATGGAAGATAAACACAGACGGTAGAGTCTCAGATGCCTCGTGGGC